CAATATCTGCTTTGAACTGGGTTGTCTGTCTGACACTCAGATAATGTGGAATTTTCTGCTTTGATGATCTGGGATATAGGGCTGTGTGGAAGGACTCTAAGTAAATAATATCATAGCTCTCTGAAAAGCTTTTGCAAATTGCAGCAACAAATAATTTGTGACTTGCAAACTATAGTATGGTGCTAAGCTACTAAATGAGCTGAAGATTTCCATGGAGTCCTTTCCACTTGGCCAAAGTGGAGCTGTCCCTTAAAAAATGCCCCTTAATAAAGAGGAGAGTTTACAGTCTCCTCTCCCACCATAAAAACTACAGACACAAGTCCCTCCCACATAGTCATATAACCCAGAATATCAAGGCAGAAAATCCCATAATATCTGCTTTGAACTGGGTTATCTGAGTCCACACTGACATATATTCCAGTTCAAAGCAGATGTGGCATTTTATTCAGCTTTGTGGAAAGGACCTCAGAGCAAATTCCTGAGATAGAAGACTAACTACTCCATCTGCCCAAACTATATGGCAGCATAGCTCTTCACAAATTGCATATGGCAGTAGCTTTATACAGTGAAGCCCCTTCTACACTGCCATATAATCCAGATTATCAATGCAGATAATCTACATTATCTGCTTTGAACTGTATTATATGAGTGTACACTGTCATATAACCCAGTTCAAAGCAGATACTTGGGATTTTATATGGCAGTGTAGAAGGGACTTGAGATGATTTTCTTATCTGGCCCAATCCTAGCTAAAGCCTTGAGATTAACGGCAGCTTTCTAGATGCTTATTAGCTATTAATATTCCAGGGGTATTTATCAAGTATCTTTTGATCTTTGTGGGTCACCCAAATTCCTAGTTTTACTCACACAGCAGTTAGACAAATGGGTTGTGCTACTGTGCTATTTATAGAATAGAATGGATGGGAGCTAAAGTGCCATTTATATAATAAAATGGAGTTCTGCTTCTATGTCTATATAACAAAGAAATATATTTATTAAACTTTGAGCCTATCCTTCCTCTAGATTTCTAAAAAGAAACTCTTCATAGGATAGGAGCATGTGGCTGGTCCTCCATATCCAGAATTTCTGTATGCACAAATTCAACCATCCACAGTTTGATTTTTTCTTTAAATAATTCTAAACACAAACCTTAATTTTGCTGTTTTCTACCCATGGGTCCAGCAGATACCAAGAGCCCCCTGTCTATGGTTCTTTTCGACCAACTCCCAATTTGTTGTAACAATAATTGCTGACAGTGACTGGTCTTACCCTGGCTTTGCACATAAGAAGATTGGGGTCCTGCGGTCCTCCTTAGGTCCACATTATCTTTTTTAAACTGGGTTATCTGAGTTCATACTGCCATATATTACAGTTCAAAGCAGATAATATTCATTTATTAACCATATTTATATACCGCCCCTCTCAGCCCGAAGGCAACTTGAGGCTATTTACAGTCGGCAGCCAATGCCTCCCAAACAACATAAAATACAGTTAAAACATTACATATAATATAAACCATATAAAAGCAATAAAACAATAAAAGCCATAAAACACAAGTCTTTAGTGTCTCATCACTAAAATCATTTTTCCGTCGCTTCATGAGATGGGATTTTATATGGGATTTTACTCAGCCGTGTGGAAGGGGCCCCTGACAAGCCCTATATCCCAGGATCTGATCCCAGGTTTTCTGTTTATCCCAGGTTATCTGGCAGTGCGGACTCATATAATCATATTTAAATCAGAAACTTGCGATCTGATCCTGGTGTTGGTGCTCAGCCTTTGATTGTGTTTAAGGATCAGGGTGCTTGGGATGTGGGGAATGATGATAATGAGGTTCATAAAGGTAATGTTTTTCTAATGATATTGATGCAGAGAATGACCAGGAGATCCCTGTTTAAAGTGTATTTTCTCATGAGAATGTCCCTAAATGGTGTGGGGATGGTGGTGTGCTCCCTGAATTGCTACCAGAGAATTCCCATGATTTGGAGCTTGAGAACAGCTCGGCACCTGGCCCAGCTGCAGAAATAAATGAGCAAATAGATAGACGTGATGTTATTAGTCAAAACAGAAAAGCAGATCAGTGGCTCAGGCATTTTGCCAGGCTCAGAGAATGAAAGATAAGGGACTCAAGGCTAAAGCGGAACCAATTTCTGGCTGCTTGGGACATAGATTAACAAGGAGATGAAAGTCCCAAGTACAGGATCTGTAGTTAGATGAAGCATCATTTGGAATCAAGTCAAGAACTCGTCCCTATTCCTTGGAAGCCTTGCTTTGGAAAGATTCATGTTCAGTACCTTTGACTCCTATTTTTGGATTTTATCATTATGTGATTAAGTGCCTTGGATTCATGTTTCCAGTTCTTTGGATTTTACTCTAGAAGTTTCTGCCTTTGTTTTTCATGAACTTTGATGGACTAATTCCTTGGACTATTTTGTTCTGGCTTATCTTCCTACCTAATTTGGGATTTACCTATTCCTTTAAAGTGCTTTTTACTTCTACTGCTTTTTAATTATCTTTAATAAATGGATTGCATTTTTTCTTAACAGTGTGGCGTTTAAAGTCAGAGGGCTTTTCCTGGTCAGAAGTGCATCACCTGGGATATAGGGCCTGTCTGGAAGGGCCCAGAGTTCATACTGCCATATAATCCAGTTCAACATGGGATTTTATTCAGCTGTGTGGAAGGGGCATATGTTGAATTGGTGTAGACTCTAGGGCCCCTTCCACACAGCTGAATAAACTCTCACATTATCTGCTTTGAACTGGAATATATGGCAGTGTGGACTCGGGTATTCCAGTTAAAAGCAAATATTGTGTAAAAGCAAAATGGAAGGTGAAAGGGAGAAACGTGCCAAGAGATCAAGCCAACCCCGACTGGGACTGCCTTCTACCTGGAAGCCGATGCCCTCACTGTGGGAGAACTTGCAGGTCAAGAATATGGCTCCACAGTCACCTACATACCCACCGCCAGGACACCGAACTTGGAGGACAATCTTACTCGGACAACAAGGGATTGCCTAAGTAAGTAAGTAAGCATTGTAGTAGATTGTGGCTTGCTTTTCTCTGTACTCACATGTCATGGACTCCACTTTGTAGCCCCATTTCTTAGTTAGCTCTGCATTTTTTTGGTGCCAGAGCGCAGCCCGTTCAGCACCTTCCAGATTGCCCAATCTTCTGTGTGCCCAGGGAGGAGTCCCTCATTCGGCATTAGCCATGGCTTGAGGTTCCAGGCTTTAGCCTGCCACTTTTGGACTCTCACTTGCTGATGTGTTCCTGTGAGTATCTCTGTAGATCTTAGGAAGCTATTTCTTGATTTAAGGCGTTGGTGTTCTGGCTGATATCCGACCAGAGGATCGTCCGGGGATGTCAATGCCTTGGTCCTTTCATTGCTGGCTGCTACTTCCCGACAGATGTCAGGTAGTGCGATACCAGCTAAACAGTGTCATTTCTCCAGTGGTGTGGGGAATAGACATCCTGAGATAATTTGGCATGTCTCATGAAAAGCCACATCCACTGTTTTAACGTGGCAAGATGTTTTCCACACTGGGCATGCGTACTCAGCAGCAGAGTAGCAAAACGCAAGGGCAGATGACTTCACTGTGACTGGTTGTGATCCCCAGGTTATGCCAGTCAGCTTTTGTACAATATTATTTCTAGCCATATTCTTGACCTGCAAGTTCTCCCACAGTGAGGGCATCGGCTTCCAGGTAGAAGGCAGTCCCAGTCGGGGTTGGCTTGATCTCTTGGCACGTTTCTCCCTTTCACCCTCTGTTTGTGCCTCTTTGAATTCCGCAGCACTGCTGGTCACAGCTGACATCGAGTTAGAGTGCTCAGGGGTCAGGGCTTCCCATTTCTCAGTGTCTATGCCACAGTTTTTAAGGTTGGCTTTGAGCCTATCTTTAAATCTATTTTCCTGCCTACCAACATTCCATTTTCTGTTCTTGAGTTCAGAGTAGAGCAACTGCTTTGGGAGAGGGTGATCAGGCATTCGGACAACATGGCCAGTCCAGCGGGGTTGATGGTGGAGGACCATCGCTTCAATGCTGGTGGCCTTTGTTTCTTCCAGCACGTTGACATTTGTCGGCCTGTCTTCCTAAGAGATTTGAAGGATTTTTCAGTGGTAACGCTGATGGAATCGTTCCAGGAGTGACGTTTGAAGATAGTCCACGTCTCGCAGGTGTATAGCAGGGTTGGGAGGACAATAGGTTTATTAAAAAGCACCTTGGTATCCCTGTGGATGTCCCGGTCCTCAAACACTCTCTGCTTCATTTGGAAAAATGCTGCACTCACAGAGCTCAGGCGGTGTTGTATTTCAGTGTCAATGTTGACTTTTGTGGAGAGGTGGCTGCCAAAGTAGAGGAAACATTTTCTAATATTACACCATTTTCTAATATTACACCATTAATATATTTTCTAATATTACACCATCAATGTATTTCAGGCATTGCAGATGGGTTGGTTGGTGATTACAACCTGAGCCCTGCCACATGCACAATGAAGGACCTTCTTTGCAGCGACACCAGAGGCTCTCCAAGTGGCCAGCTTCTGGTCAAAGGACAGTTAGCATAATGCCAAGTTCTTTTTTAACTTTGTGTTTTTCAATGCATTTTAACTGTACCTTCAACTCACTTCTGACACAATAGATAAATATATGAGGAAGATCATACTTTACAAAAGGTTATGATGATTCCAAATAGTGTGAATGCCAATTAATCTCCACAAGGGTCATGCTTCCCAATGGCTATGGATAATCCTGGTTTTCCAAAAGGTTATGATCTCTAAAAGGTCCAAAAACATTGGTGTTATTTGATTTCTTTTGTTGCTCACTTTGGCATTGCATGTTTGCTTAGGGCGGGTTACATTATTATGATTATGAGCGAGGATGATCCCACACAGCACTTATTCTACAGGGAGGGGTTTGAATGGCCAGGGCGCATGCGCTTGAGGGGGTTGAGACAGGGAGCAGTGGGCGGGGCCTCTGAGCCATGCCCCGCCCCCGTCCCTCTTCCGTCACGTCTCCTCGCGCCCGCCCCTCTGGCGGCTGGAGGGGGAGGAGCTACTGTTGCCGAAGCTTCCTGGGAGGAAGGAAGAGAAGAGAAGAGAAGAGAAGGGGAGAAGGAAGGGAGGCCCCGAGGTGGCCCAGCGTTGCGAGGGGACTCCGAGCCGAGGGAGGCCGGGCTGCCAGGCCAAAGATGGAGCACCTCCAGCAGCAGCAGCCTCAGCAGCCGGCCAGTCGGTACCAAGTGGTGAGTAGCCGCCGGAGGGAGAAGAAGGAGGCCTCCAACCTCTTAGGCCTGGCCTGGTTGGAATCCCCCTTTCCTTCGCTTCCTCTTTAGGAGTTACTCCTCCCAGGGGTCTCGACGAGGCCCAGGATGTGGAGGCCTCGAGCAACAAGGAAGGCCCTGCTTTGTTCGAGGAGCCCCGTGGGCCCACCAAAATGGCCCACACTGTAGAATTGATGCAGTTCGATCCCACTTCCATGGCTACAAGCTGTGGAATCCAGGGATTTGGTTTTGGACAGAGATGGCTTGTCAAACTACAACTTCCATAGCATTGAGGGCCCTTCCACATAGCTGAATAAAATCCCACATTATCTTCTTTGAACTGGGATATATGGCAGTGTGGACAGGTAACCCAGTTCAAAGCAGATGTGGTGGGATTTTTCTGCCTCGATATTCTGTGTTTAATGGCAGTGTGGAAGAGCCCTTCCACACAACCCTACATCAACAACAATTTTTATTGATTAGCCAATTGGCCTTATCAAAAACAAACAGTGCAGACATAACATACAATGTTATGTCCACACAACCCTACATCCCAGAATATCAACATACTACAGAATATCAACATACCCCAGAAACATACTACAATATCTGCTTTGAACTGAGTTATCTCAGTCCACACTCCAATAACGTGGGATTTTCCGCCTTGATACTCTGGGATATAGGGCTGTGTGGAAGGGTAGCTATTACTTCTTCAGTGCTGCATCCAGACACAGGGGCACCTTTGCATTTTGGTGCTCCTTTTTTGTGTAAAATTTACCCTCCAGCTGTATACATGGCTTGGAGGCACCCACACAGGGAATGTTGAATGCACAAGCAATTGCCACATTACAAACAAGATCAGTTAATAATAATAGTAATAACTTTATATTCCACCCTATCTCCCCGAAGGGACTCAGGGCGGATTCCAACAAACAAAGAGGGAAGCATTCAATGCCTTGACCAGACCATAAATTCAGATACCAATACAATAACAACCCAACCAAGTCCCAAGATGATTTCGTTCTGTAGGTTTGTTTTTAAGTTGGATTTGCACGCAAGCTGGGACAGGTACTTTTATAAAAGTATATTTCTACCCAGCATATATTAGCTTTTAACACTCCTGTGGTGTTTGTTTTGCTGTCTGTGTCTCTGTTCAGAAGATTTCACCTCACTTTCTGTCCCTGTGAGAGTTGGATTTTGAAAAATTGGCTTGTTGTGGAAATGAGGATTGGTGATAAAGCTTCAGAGGAGACACCTTTCCTCCATGTTAACTCTTTCCTGAGTGAATTTCCCCTTCTAGGGGCAAATTTCTCTTATTTCCTGTTCCCTCACCCCTCTTTCCACTATGAGTCATTTGTAAGTTGGATGTTTGTAACTTAGGGACTGCCTGTATCCATTTCTGTGTTTGTATGTGTCACATCGTCACCTCTTGAGGACTGCCCCTTGAGTTTCCGAGGAAGAAGATAGGTTTAACAGTTTCCTTCCACCAATTACAGCCTTGGTTAATGCTTAGATGGGAGACTACCAGTGAACTAAAGTGACCCTGTTTATCTTCTAAAATCAGAAGGCATCTGTCTCCAAGATGATGTTGAGACCCATATACACACACACACACATAGCACAAATGTCATGTTTAGACGTGGTTGAAACGTTCCGTTTATATGATACTTAAATTGATTTTGTGTTCAGCCTTGACAATATTTTATTATGCATATATGCAAATATTCCAAAATCCACGTACAAAAGAAATCCAAAACATTTGCAGTTCTTAGTAAATGGGGCCTCTTCCACACAGCCCTATATCCCAGAATATAAAGACAGAAAATTCCACATTATTTGAGTGTGGACTCAGATAACCCAGTTCAAATCAGATATTGTGAGATTTTCTGCCTTGATATTCTGGGATATAAGGCTGTGTGGAAGGGCCCAGTATAAACAAGGAAAAGACATGCACAAAAGGAAGTGGCTTTGTGTCACCCCTTTCTTCTCTTTCTATCTCTTGCTTCAAAACTGGACTCATAAATCAGCCTTCTCTTTCTGATGAGAAGACAAATGTATTGAATGTAGGTTCACTGCATCTCTCTTTTTCTTCTTGGATTCCCATTCCAGTTCCTTTGGATTGTCTTTGTGCCCTTCACATCACCCCCCTCCCCCCTGCTTTGCCCTTCATGTGCTAGTGTTAGGTATAGTTAGGTAACTGGGCCTGTGGTTGTGTGTACATTTGCCTGGGAGTAAACACCACTGAAACCAACTAGATATTTCTGAGTAAGCAAGTTTGTAGGACTGCGACCTTATCCCTGTTTTCCGAGTCACTCACAGTGAGCCTAAAATATTAATGTGTGTTAGGGTCAGGCTTGTTGTGTTGCCAGTTGATTAAACATTCCTTGTTATGAAACTTATAATTGATATTTGCAAAATGAGCAATAAGTACTATTAATAGTTATATGTTAAAAACTATATGGGTGGCTTCTTGAACTTTGATCAGAGAAATGTGAAGCGAACTTATGATTCAATAAACAGGTGACGGTTCTTTGTTAACACAGATCAGCTTGATTGCTTTTATTTCCTGCTGTGGTACAGTATAAAAATAGCCTTGCATATAAGTCTTCTAAATAAAAGGGCCAGCTCTAATTAATAAGTATAACATGGTTTACCCTGACTGTGAATTAAAACATGGACCTTGTAAGCAAGCCTTAATTTTCAAGAGCATTCCTTATTTTTAACATCTGTTATCATATTTCAGAGTATTTTCAGATTGGTAATGCTGAAAATATGATACTGTGTCTTTGTATTTTTTTACCTTTGAAAAACAAAACAAAGCCAATGATAGTTGGGATTTCTGTATTTGAAAGCATATTTTGTAATAGGTTTGGGTAGCAGTAAGTAAATAACAAATCAATATATAATATTTTTCCTGTGATCAATGGCCAAAAAGGGGATGGCGGGAAGATATTTGCTACATTTGTATCTTTCCTGGGGGAAAAAACCCTGTAGGTTGAAGCAAATAGATCCCTATCTTGGTAACAGGAAGTCCAAACTTTTGCCCTCTGCCTGGACACCCTGATATAATGTCTTATTATCATTAACCTTTGGACCCTTTCATCATCTGGATAAGAGAACCATTTCGTTCTTTTGAATAATATTTCTATGCCGAAAGAGTCAATATATATTCTCAAGCTCTACAGCCATGTAAACATTTATGCTTTGAAATAAGGAACGCATTTCTGTACAGCAGACAAGCACATCATTTGCAATAGTAGAATGTTTCTTTTCACCCCAACAAACTACTTCTGTGGGCAGATAATCCCATTTGTTTACGCTTGGAAACTGTGGGTGGTGATTTTCTGAATCAGCCAGGCAAACTTGCCATTACATCACAGGTGCCTTTGAGGACTGGCTACTTAGAGAGCTTAAGGAAATGACCAGTTCACTTAACATGTTCCTTTCTCGCCCTATCAAGTGACAAGCCTTTGGGTGTTGAATAACACTTAAAGGGAACAGCTCCTCCCATATTGCTTCTACTTGTTTGCCTTTGCCTGGTGGATAGAACAGAAGGGAGCTGATGTAGCAAACTTTCCCCCAAAGGAACATTGCCAGTTTTTTTAATTGGACACGAGTTGGCCTTTAAACAAACTAACCAGGAGGGAACAAAAACTTGGCTCGTAGTTCAAACTTTCAGGGGCAGCGGAGAGAGAATGTGAGAATTTCCCCATGCCTCTGATTTTACATGTCATGGTTCCATTGCACAAGCTTATCTTGGGAAAATAGTGCTGAATGCTGAAATTGTTGGTAATAGTTTAGATGTATTTTAAAACTGTTTTGATTCATGCATGGTATGTAGAAAAAAAATAACTTCAGGCTTGGAGAAGAAATTAAGTTGAATCCCATAACAGTCTGAGTTCTGCTATTGCTATGATCTGCATTCCAGACTCCTTTTGTAGCCAGATTTCAAATGTTCCCCAGAAAATCAAGTTTAAGAATAACTCATTCTGCAGAATTGTCACAAGAGCCAACCCGATCCTCAAGCCATTTTCTCATTCTCTTATCAAGGTCTAGCAGTGTTAAAAATTAAATGGGCCTAAACAGGCAAACTACTAATCAGGTAAATAGGGCAGCTATATGACCCTTTTAGATATTTGCCCAAAACATATGTGATGTATGAAAGTGAAAATTAGTCTGCAATCCAAAGTTTTCTCTCTGTTTTTTATGTATATAGGGCAAGGAAAACAGTGCTCATTAGAAGTAAAAGATGCTCACATATGTGTCATCAAGTTTAAATGTTTTTGTGTGGGTGGTATATGTGTGGAAATAGACAGGGTTGTTGGTTTGTTAAGAATATCATGTCTTCTGTTGAACTGTTTTGATATTATACTATACATGTAGTCACTCAGTTGGATAAGATTACCAAACAACTGAGCCTTGCTGCCATTTTGAGGATCTCCATAGCTCCTTGATTCCAAAATCTTAGTTTTGTCTATGAAAGATAGATTAAGCTCTGTCTTAGACTGATTTGACACAGCACACATGGCTGTACTTCATTAATATATAACATAGGAATGTCTTCTACTCAGAAACTTCTGGAATATGCATATGACTTCCTCTCTTCAGATTCCTGTTTTTTATATTCGTTTATCTCTTATTTTGATGCTGTAGAAAATTGTGTCATGAATCAGGGTTTTTATATTAAACTAACAATAGTATAATAAAACTTACAGAAGCACATGCAAGTACCATAACCACATAAAATACACGTAAAACACATCAACATATTAGATAATGACAATATCAGTTCACAAAAACAGCACATTATACAAATTAAATAACAGATCCCAATTAAAATCAGTAAAACATATTACTAATTGACCTTAAAATGAATAGTACAACATCCCAGCCACAGCCCAAATTTGACCATTAAAGTCTGTCTAGTTAGTCTATCTAATTAGTTTTTATGTTCCCCTCCCTGTTGTCAATGCAGTCAGAAG